GGAGGTGGAGGAGGAGGAGGAGAATCGAGAGGATGGTGGATAATCAGAAAAGGAATCGCAGACAAAGTCTATAGGAGCGAAGACCAGGATGAGGACAAGGACGAGAACGAGGATGACAACAAGGACAAGAATTAGAATGAGAATGACAAAGAGGGCAAGAGTGAGGAGGAAGAAGGCCCACGAGGGCAAAGGCGAGAACAGGGTCGAGGTCTGCGATGAGTGTGGGGAAAAGAGAAAATCGAGGAGGAAGAGGGGCCGCAGGTGGAGAGAGAGAGGGGGGGGGGGGGGGGGGACCAGATTGCAAAAAGCGCGAGCGAAAGAGGAGCGACAGAAAAAGAAGCGAGAAGTGGCAAACACATGAGAGAGGCACAGATGTTCAGAGGCCGCAGAGACGATTCAGAATCATAAGCATCAACAGATTTTGTTGCAACAACATATAGAAATGTCACTTGCTCAGGAACTTGGGCCAGAATACTGACCAGGTTCATGAGCACAATACGTAGTAGACGAAGAAGATAGTTATGAGGAAATCATTGATTGATTGGTTGGTTATCCTTTGATAAAAACAGCAAACAAGAACAATCGTACCCACTGCTAGCAGTAGCAGAAATGTCACTCACTCCTGAACCTGGTCAGAATACTGACCAGAAGATGATGAATGGTCCTTGTCGTCATTCGGCTGTTTGCCCACAACAGCCCGCCGGGACGGCATTGCCATTCTCAACTACTGATGACTTCCCAAGTACCATCCCCCTCCTCCCCCTCCACCCCCCCACTATTATCAATGTCATCATCATTCTCCTCCTCCTCCTCCTCATCATCATCATCATCATCATCATCATCGTTCCCCTGATGCCCTCAAAAAAGGACTGAAGATAAAGATGTTTCAGTTACTTCCTCCTACATAACACGCTGTACCTGGACGCAATCCCAGACACATACTCGATCACTCATCTGTGACCGTCATATCAACACCAGCACTACCATCACCCACAATTCTCTCACCTGTACACTACCAATTTAACCCCGGGCACAAAACGCAAGAATGCAACTCCTTCCCCTCCTCCCTCCCTCCCTCCCTCATCATCAGCGGTGGATTCCTCAAACACTTGTCCAAACCGTGAGCGCCGCTCACGCTTGCATTCGCAAACAGCTCTTCATCCTTTCTGTGACGCGCGTGCATTGGCTCCCACCCACAAAACGCATAGTCACTTCAAAAACTTGCCATCACAGACAAACACACCCCTCTTTCGCCCCGTCCGTCCGCGCGGACGCCGTCTCTCCGCCCTGCTCGCACCAATTGTTGCGCCGCAGTAGTTTGCGACTACAGTTTTCAAGCAGCGCAATGGCAGCAGCAGCTGCAAAGCCCACCCCACCCAGCAAACAGATATTCTTGTCCGGACCCCCCGCCCATAGCTCGCGGCTCAACGGTCACCACAGGCACAGCTGAAAAGGCCCCCACCCAGCAAACAACAACTGGCTTCTCGTCCGCGGACCCGCGGTGGCTTCTCGTGTGCAGACCGGCTCAATGGTCGGCACAGCAACTGCGTCTCCCATAAGATTCGATTCCATCACCGCAGCGCCACCCGACGAAACTTGCTTGTCGGCAAAGAAACGAGCATGCGCACGTTGATCTTATAAGATGATGACAATTCCACGCTCCAAATATTTTGCTCGGGAAGGGGGCAATGCATGCACAGTCCATTGCCCGGTCCCGCGTCAACAGATACTACTGTAGTACTTGAAGACTTACGCCTATTTGTCACAGTTTGCCTCTATCTTAGGACTTTTCTGGCCGGCCGGAAGAACATAACTGCATCCATGTGTGTGGGTGTGGGAAGAATATCGATGGCCCTCGTTCACACGGTGACGTGACGCTCAACGCTCGCGAACGAGTTCCCAATCGGTTATCATGCAACAGAGCCAGGGCCACAACTCTCTCAATTCACGCACGCTGTCTCGCCTCCTCAACTCTCTCTCTCTCTCTCTCTCTCTCTCTCCCTCTCCTCATGGTCTCCATATCCCCAACCCCTCCACTTCTTTCAACGGCTTTAACTTCCACGCGACCTCTCACAGACGACACTTATTTCCAGAATGCAATTACGCAAGAGCCCCTTGAAAACACTCGTGCAATTACGATAGAGCCCCTCAAAATCTCTCAGAGCACGTTATCCCCTCCCTTTCCCAACACAATGCCATTCCCGCACACAATCCTCCCTTCCACCTCCACCAAACCTCTCTCTCTCTCTCTCTCTCTCTCTCTCTCTCTCTCTCTCTCTCTCTCTCTCTCACACACACACACACACACAGCCTCTGCTTACCATGGCCAACATGTAGTACAGGGCCTAGGAACACATGAAAGAAGGTGTGCAGAGAATGAAAAGGAAGGAACTTTCCAATTCAGGAAAGAAAAATTCATAAGAAACAGAAGGGGACATAGGAGCTGGGTTCAAATTTCAAACCCATCTTGGCACAAGGTACCCCCAATCCAGTGGGTCAATTCTCACACCTACCCCCAATCCCTCCACGGGCTCCTGTGTCAAAACCCCCTTTCTCCCCTCACCATCACCTTGGCTTCCATGATGCCAACTGCTTGGGCAATTCTCACACCTACACAAATCCCTCCACGGGCTCCTGTGTCAAAGGGGGGCCTCCTTTCTTTCTCCCCTCACCTCACCACCACCTTGCCTTCCATGCCAATGCCAACCGCTTGGGCATTTTCACATCGTCGACTAGTCTAACCTCCAGAGACTTCACCAACACACACCCCCTCCCCTCCCCACTTCTCTCTCTCTCTCTCTCTCTCTCTCTCTCTCTCTCTCAACGCACTGATAACACAAATTGAGACCGTCCACCACATACAGATCAACGACAACCCTCCTCTGACAATCTGTCACGAGGCCTCCACATAATTACACACTATTTCAACAACGGAATTTCACGAAAAAAAAATTGTACGTCTGGACATCGGCTTCTCAAATGAAAAAGAAAGAAGATGATCATGACAATGAAGAGGAGGAGGAGGAGGAGGAGAGTGAGTAGGAGTAGGAGTAGGAGGAGTAGGAGGAGGAGAAAACAACCATGATGAGGAAAAGGACGAGGAAGTAATCTTTGCGAGAACATCACTACAACCCACTTCACGCAATTCACCACGCCTGGCTCCGTGATATCCACACACACACACACACACACACACACACACACACATCATCTTATCCCCATGTTCTGATGACATATGTCCTTGCTCTCCCTTCTCGCATCATTGACGGCCAGCATTCCTCCGAAGCGATTCACGACGACCTTACTCTCTCTCTCAGAGCTAGCTTTGCTAGTTTAGTTCTAAGTCCATTCGGTTCGGCTGAGGGGTTCCCCATCCCCATTCCGAACTAACGACAGCAATTGCAACTCTCACATCATGATGCAAATCTGTTGAGAGGGGAAAAACAAGCAGAGAACAAAACAAATATAAAGAACGAAACAAGCAGGTACCATGAAGGTCAGTTGGCTGACTTTTTCAGACTTTTTCTCTAGGCTAGCAGTTGTGCTGGCCGGACATCCTGTGTGGAGTTGTTTGTGATCCGGGACAGCTCATTTTCTGTCCAAATCTGCAAAGCCAAAAAAAAAAAAAAAAAAAAAAAAAGGCGGGGAGGGGGGCTGCGAACCACCAGGAGACGCCCCGAAACAAATTTGAGGCCTTTCGGAGAAAAAAGAAAAGAAAAAAAAAAACGATATTGGGTTGGGGAAGCGGGTGGAAGGTGTTGTGGAAGGCCCGCTGCTGCAGCCGCTGCATGTGTGTACACACATGCACACACACACACACACACTACTGTCACACACACACACACACACACACACACACACACACAATCTACACACACAGGTAGAAGAGAGAGTTGGACTTAGTCGCGTCTGCCCTTCTTTTTTCTTTTCTTTTTTCCCAATCAATCAACCAATCAATCAAAATCCAATTCAATCTAGATTGATTGGATCTTGAAAATCAATTGGATTTTCAAGATCTAATCCAGTCTACTGATTGGATCGGATTTTGATTGATAGATTGAAAAAAAAAAAAAAAAAAAAAAGGGGAGGGGAGTAGAGACGACGACCTAGAGGACGATGGTGAGAAGGGGGTGTGGGGAGTTGGGCGGGTAGGGATGAGGGATGGCGACACGACCGCGGACGACGACGATAGGGACGAGGAGGAGGAGGAGGAGGACAAGAAGGACGAGGAGGGGGAGGAGGAGGCATTGAAAGGGGAGGAGGGCGACAACGACGAGGACGACAAGGAGGATGAAGAAGAAAAACACGGCGAGGCAGGGACGAATAAGAAGAGAATGATGAACGGGAGCAAGAGTGGGCCGCGGCGATGGACGCAAATCGGGGCACCGCGACGATGGACAAGGAGGAGGAGGAGGAGGAGGAGGAGGAGGACGGCGGCGATGGACGACGATGACGAGGAGGAGGTGGAGGACGTGGAGAAGGAAGATGATGATGATGATGATGAGGAGGAGGAGGAGGAGGAGGAGGGGGAGCAGAAGGAAGTGGACGGAAAGGAGGAGGAGGAGGAGGAAGACCGGGCCATTTTCGTTTTCGTTTTCGTTTTCGAAGGCCCTTCCGGCCTCACAAAAATCGCCCAACCTAATACGTACCCCAAACCGCACCCCCCCGTGCCCAAAAACCCGACTGGAACCCAAAGCAAATTTTTCAACCAGCCCGCGGACACTGGCCCCCGCTCGGACGACCGGGGGCTAGGTCCCACTTACACTAATTAGGCGATATTGACCGTAGATAATAAAGATCAACGGCCAGAATCTCTTAATCCGAGCAAGTGGGACCTTGCCCCGGGGCAGTTCTTCGATGGGGCAACCTGGAACCAAAAAAGGGCCCCGGATGTCCAGACTGGTAACCTAGCTTTTTTTTTTCCTTTTTTTTTCTCTCTTTTTCCTTTTTCTTCCTCTTTTTGAGAAAATTTTCCTTTTTTTTCTCTTTTTTTTCCTTTTTTTTTTTTTTGGCCGGTGCTATCGGAGGTGGTAAAAGCAGCCCCAGATAGCACATCGCCCAGATGGCTCCTTTCTATTGGTGGGAAGGTGCACCACCTGCTGGACACCAGGTCCTGCAGGAACAACTCTGCCGGGGACATTTACCCGGTCAGTTCTCTGACATGTTCTTTACCAATATAACATTTAAGACCCCATCCCTGTACCCCCACCAACACCCAAACCACCTCCCTAGAGTACAGATCCAGACGGAATAAGACACAAGTACATCTGTGCTCTTCCTATTTGCACTGCACACCCTAGAGAGACACAGAAAGCCGTCGCCATTCCATCAAGAGGCATACACAGTGGATCAGCAGACGCATCAACACATGTATGTGTCTGTGTGTGTGTGTGTGTGTGTGTGAGAGAGAGAGAGAGAGAGAGAGAGAGAGAGAGAGAGAGAGAGA